GGGCCCAGCTGTCCACTCTAAGCACCTTCTGGGTCTCGGACCCTGAGCTGCTGATCCCTGCAGAGAGCAGGACCCCCATGCACCCAGCTCCATCCCCTGCACAACAGCAGGAAAACAAGGGGCAGGAACACAAACAGCGAGGGGAGAAGGGGACGTGGTTGTGGATCCCCACTCTTGCCAAGCGCCGCCGCTCACCCGTGCGTGAGACCTCACGGGGGTGCTCTGAGACTTGGAGTGCTGCGCTGGCTCTGCCTGCAGGCATCTGCGTACCCTGCAGGCACCGAGCACCCCGGGGAAACGGAGCTGGCCACTAACCCCAGCCCCGCCCCCTGGGCAGGGTTTCTCGGCAGGCTCAACTCAGTCGCAATTTTACCATCCTTATTTCTTCTCTCTTGAGCTTTCTCTGATCCAGATTTCCTCCCTGCCTGCTTCAGGTCCCTCAGCACCTTCCGATCTCATTGATACTTCCAGGATAGCCAACTGCAGAGCTGTTCTTTGCCCTCAGCACCATCATGTTTCCATCTGCCTGTAGGATTTACAAGCAGAGATACTCAGAAATCAAATGGATATGTGCTCCCCTTGCTAATGGGGGATATCTGTGGAGCCAAGGGGATAACACAAGGCCAGAGCAAGACCCTCACTGCCCAGTACCCATCCCAGACTACCTGAGTAGGGCAGGCTGAGGAAGATGGTCAGGTTCAACCAAGAATCCAGATCAACCTAAGCAGACAGGTTTAAAGCCAAGCCATTAAATCAATCTGCAGGTTAGGTCCAGGGTCAGTCCATGTGTTGGGGTCCAGAGTGGCAGTGACCAGGCATGAGGATGGCTGTAGCTGAGCCAGAGCCCAGCAACAACATAGCTTAAGCTAGGACTAAGTGCCCTGGGCTGAGCTTAAATAGAGCTCCTGGGCCACAGGCAGGGTGTGGGTGGGGGGTCCCAGGTGGGGCTGGCCAGGACCATCAGGGTTTATTAATGCCCTCAGGGCCCCTACAATGTTCTCCTGCTCATTATGCTGTGGTCTTGCAAAGGGACTTGTCCCATAAAAGGGGGGTTTTTTTGCCTTTTCTTTTACTGTCTGCCCACTCAAAATGAAGATTATCTTGAGCTCTACTGTTCTCTGTTTATGGTAGCAACAAGGGGCTTCTCTTGCTGGCTCAGCTAGTGGAGAGCTGGTGCCACCCTAGGATGCTCCTAGGGTTCCTCCGGCATCTTGAGACAGCCCCTGCACCCTGGGGCAACTGGGGTTGCATCCTCTGGGGGCTGGTCCTGGGAAGCAGCAGCTCCCAGGCCCTGGTTAGGATCAGGGCAAGGGGTCCCTGCAGCTGTGGCAAGCCAGGGATCCATCAGCATCCCTCCCTAGGGCTGCAATCAGCCTGGGCATCAGCGTGCCGCTGAGTGCAATGTGATGAGTGCCTGAGACCCGAGCTGGGCCGATGTGACGCAGAGATGGATGGTGGCGCTGAGACTTTCCTTGTATCAGATACTTTGACTTTCCGACCCATTCCCATGCAGGGCCACCTCGGATGAAAGAAAATATAGAGAGGGCAGGTGGAGGACAGGAGATCAGGTTACTATTCCTCTCCAGCTGCCCTGCTCTCTGTTGGGAATGTGTTTCTGGGTTTTTTTTCCCCCTGCTTTCCCAGGCTTGGCTGGGGCTGCTGTTAGCTCTGGCTCCGCGCTGTGCCCTGCAGCCTTATCCATGCCCACCACCGCCAGCCCTCCTCTCTCGGCTCCTCTGCCAAATGGCCCTTCCAGGCTCACACCTCCTGCAGGGTCAGGGCCAGGCAAGGTGGTCTGGCAGGGATGGGCAACCCCCATGGGATGGGACTCCCAGCCCTGTGGGGTGCTGGCAGCCTGTGGCACTGGGACATGGGGTGCTCAGAGAGAAACTGTAATGGCGAAAGGGAGGAAGAAACTGGTCCCTGGGTCCCTGTGTGACCGGAATGGATGCTCAGGGAGGACAGACAGATGATATGCAGGGTGTAATTGCTTTATTGCTATTTTTTCCTCCATTCCTGCCTTTACCATTTGCCGCTTCTCCATTTCACATGACTACACATCCTCTTTCCCAGTGGTTTTCTCCCAGTCCCCCCATGCCTGGGGCTGTCTGTGCCTTTGTCCCCCCCATCCCCGCTCTCCTCCCTCTCCCACCCCGCTGTTTCCTGTGGCTGAGCTCATTTCAGCTATTCCTTCACTTGGAATAACTGATCCATTCTGTTGTCCTCCAACAAATAAGCTGACAGGCTAATGAATGGCTTCAGATGGTAATTAGCAATGGAGTTGCTAATAATGAATTTAATTTACATTTTAAGCACTGCAGAGGAAAAGCAAGACCCTGTCATTAATGCCCCCCCACCCCGCCACAGCCTTTGCCTTGGGGGGAGCACACCCTCCGCAGCCCTTTCAGGGATGCAGAAAGGCTTGGCTGTGATTGCACCTTGTCTGCCTCCATTTCAGAGTCTGCAATAAGCAGAGTTTGTTAAGCAGCAATTGGGGGCGGGGGGGCAGAAGCTGCTGCCGCTTCCATTATCCATGGGTGGGGAAGGTGCCCCGATGCTGTGAAAAATGGGCCACGGGAGGCAGGAGCTGGTCCTGGGCCAGGAAAGAAGGGCTGGATAGTTCACCCAGCACCAGTAATTCATCCAGCTGCAGGCTCAGCACCGAGCAGTCCTGGCTTGCCTGGAGCCCCAGCACTGCCGGGGGGGCAGAAGCTGCTGCCGCTTCCATTATCCATGGGTGGGGAAGGTGCCCCGATGCTGTGAAAAATGGGCCACGGGAGGCAGGAGCTGGTCCTGGGCCAGGAAAGAAGGGCTGGATAGTTCACCCAGCACCAGTAATTCATCCAGCTGCAGGCTCAGCACCGAGCAGTCCTGGCTTGCCTGGAGCCCCAGCACTGCTGGCCCTCGGTGGCCACGTAACCCTCCTGTGCTGCTGGCGGCTGTTTGCACACCTGAGTAATGACTTGGAGGGATTTCTCAGCTCCCTTGACCGCACACGCTCTGCGAATGGTTGCTAAAATCCTTCCCGACTATTTTCCTAGGGTTTTACCATCTTTTGAAAGCAGCAATTTCCTTGAGAGGCTTAATCCATCCCTGCCTGCCCAAGGAAGGAGCCAAGCGCCTTCCACAAGGATGCCACAAATAGTCATCAAGCAGAGAGGGAGAAAAATGATGTTGTTTTGTCTTGTACAAGTGAGGGATTTGTGGCGGAAGCGCAGCAACTAGGCACGCTCGCTACCGCAGAGCACCGGCTGGGACTTGGGGGATGCTCAAAGCCTGAATCCGCCACCAGTGCTGGGGGTGAGCCTGGCAGCGTTGCATGCCCTGCCTCAGCTTCCCCCTCTGTGCCAAAGGGGCCTCAGGGGGTCTAGGCTGGATCAGGAAAAGATGCTCTCCATCCCCTTGGGTTTTCTAGCGCAGCGGAGCACTGCTGTTAGATGGAGCATCCATCCCATGTGAGTGAGACACCAGTGCTGTCCCCCATCACCCACAGACCCCCCAGACTCCAGTCTGGTGGTCGGATCAGGGGGTGTCCATTACCCGCTCCCTGTTTAGGGCAGCGGTACCCACAGAAAGCTGTTTTGGGGACCACAGGGAGGCAGGGATTTGCCCCAGCCAGGAGGGGACGGCTGCATCCTGCCTTGCCAGAGCCTTCACCTCTGCGGGCATCAGATCAATTGATTTATTTATGTATTTTTTCAAGCCCTGCTCAGACTGAAAACAATCCAGGGGCCTCCAGAGGCCGATAAGATTTGACTGCAAGTCAATACTGGGCATGTCTTTCCACTGTGCAATGATCCCTCAGCCAGCAGGGAGGGAGGCTGGGGGTGCCGGGGATGGGCAGGGGACAGGCAGGTGACAGGGGCAGGCAGAGGGCCAGCCTGGGGCAGGGATATTGCCTCTGCCCAGGGAAGAAATGGGGGGCAGAAAGGGGAGATCTTCTGGCCTGTAACAGGGATCTCCTGGGATGTTTGGCTAGTAAACATGATGGTGACTCCATGGTGGGCAGCTCCACGTTGGGAGATGAGCAAGGAACAGGGTCTGGGAGAGCAGCGGGGAGAGGGAGGGATGGGGAAGGAGGAGGTGGAGGGAAAGAAATCACCCGTGAAATTCTCCTGCCTATGAGTCCCAGTAGCTTCTCTGATGGCTAATAAAGGTTGAGCTCAGGCTGCCAGCTTTCCCAAGGTACCTCCTGTATCTCTGCGCCATCCCCGGGTGCACCATGGCCGGGACTCCTCATGCCCTCTGGGGATGCTGCTGGGGAGAGGGTGCAGGGGAGGAAGGCAGGCAGGCAGGCAGGCATGCAGGCTGCCCGCACTCTGCTGACATTCGCAGTTAGCATTTGGCGTCCTTGAGCGGAACAAGTGCCGAGAGAAGGGACCAGGTTCTCTTTAAGGGGGCAGGACTCCGGGAGCATCATGAAGGCAAGAGTGAGCTTCTCCCTCTGCCTTCCACTTCCCTTCCCGCACACTCCCTGCCGGGGACCTGGGCTCCCTGCCCTCCCCTTCACCTTCCGCGGCTCTCGGTGCTGGAAGGGATGAAGGCAGGAGCTGGGTGCTGGGATGGGAGGCTGAGCGAGGGGAGGAGGAGGAGAAGGAGGAGGGGAGGAGGGAGAGGGGGAGGATCTGCTAATTACACAGAACAGCTCTGGGGGCTGCTGAAGTCCAGAATGAAGCAAAAAGCAGCAGAAGCGAGTGCTGCAGTGGGAGCGGAGGAGCCCAAGCATCACCGAGAGCCGGAGCCAGCCATCGTCCCTGCTGGGAGCGACCGGGGGTACCCAGGGGATCCTGCAGCCCCGTCCCCCCCGGGGGACAGCCTCCAGCACAGCCACCTCCTCCGCAGCCAGCCCCGGGCAAGGAGCGGGGAAGGGGCTGGTGGTCCTGGGAACGCAGGGTTAAACTCAGCCCTCCTGCGGGCTGGGCTGGAGCGCAGTGGAGTCAGTCCTGCCATGGTCCTGGGGGGCTAGGAGCCCAAGTGGATCCATCGGGAAGGGGCAAGGGATGACTGCCGAAGGAGGGGGAGCCAAGCCCATCACCCAGTCCAGGATGGAGAACTTCCGAAAGGTGAGGACCTCAGAGGAGGAGAGCCCCTTGCCCTTCCCCGACCTGCCCCCAGATGTGGTGGAGATGAAAGTGAAGGAGGGCAGCAAGATCAGGAACCTGATGAACTTCGCCATGGCCCAGATGGAGCTGAAGGGCAGCAGGCAGATCGTCTTCAGTGGTTGCGGCAGGGCTGTCACCAAGACCATCACCTGCGTGGAGATCATGAAGCGCAAGCTGGGAGGTCTTCACCAGGTCACCAAGGTGCGCTACAAAACCTTGCTGGAGGTCTGGGAGAACCAGGACCCGCTGCCTGGCAGCCCGGCACAGAACCTGACCGTCCACAAGAATGTCCCCTCCATCTGCATCCTCCTGTCCCGAGACCCCCTGGATCCCAACCAGACGGGCTACCAGCCCCCGGAGCCCCGGCATGGGCTGGGGACGCAACTCAGCGAGGCCGGGGAAGACGCATCCAGCTCCTCCACCAAGGGGCTGAAGCGGCCCCTGCCACCTCCCCACGAGGAGCTGCTGACCAAGAAGTTGCAGGCACAGGTACCGGACAGTCCAAGGGGCTCAGGGTCCACAGACCACCAGCGGGGGCCCACAACCCACCAGCCAGCCCCCCCCCACTGCCCCCACCACCTCTTGCCCTGACCAGCCATACGCCGGGTATATAGGCAGGGATATGACCTTATATAGGCAGGAGATTGTATGGTGGAGAAACTCTGGGATTTTTAGCTGCTTTGCTGTGGATAAAGGCAGTGCCGTGCTTGCTCTGGGGTCACTGGTGTGCTGCAGGCTCCCCCCGACATGCTGCTGCTGCTCTAGGTAACCCCCGTGCATGGAGGCTTGCTGCTGGGGGTGGGCATGATGTCCCCAGGTTTGGGGTGAGGGTTAAAGGGGTAAATCTGCCAGCCCTTGGTTATGGTCTGAAGCGGGGTGGGGCGGGGACAGGAGGTGTTGGGGGGAGCTGCTGACCCTGCATTCAGCCACCCAGAGGCAATGACTCCCAGAGCCAGAGCACCCGTTGCCTTTCAGCGAGGTGTGCCTGGACCAGGGAAGGCAGCTGTACATCATCGCTCCCCATTGCGATCTCTCAGCCATCAGGAGAGATGGTTTTGCCCCAAGCCTGTTGGAGTAATACCTTCATTATCAAACTGCTGCAATTACGCCCGGCAAGGAGCTGTCAGGTTTATTAATGCCGGGCTCAGCACCCCACGGCGTCGTGATTCATCCCAAATAAAACACACAAACAGCAGACGGATCACTCCCTCCCCGTGCTCACAGAGCTGAGCACTGTGTTGCCTGCCTATGGGACAGCAGAAGAAAATAAACCAACCCTTGTTCTTCTTCCCGCATCAGATATTCTGGGCTTTGCTCTCCCGGAGGTGTTTATAGGGTTTGGAGCCGGGGTGAAGCCCTGACGTCCGGAGCTGGGGGCAGTGGGAGCGTTAGGTGGGTTGTCGTTGTGACTGGATGCGCTGCCCGGTGCAGGACAGGGAGGTTTTGGGGTCGTGGACTTGGCTGCAGAGGCCTTGCCGTGGGCTGGCTCCCTGGAAAAGCCCTTCGGAGCAAAATCCCTGCTTCTTTCAGGGGGTAGAAGAGAACGAATGCAAAATAAAAGCTCTTTAGAAGTAATTGAAATATGGCTATGGGAAAATGGGGGGATCATCTTGGCTGCCAACCACGGCACAGCGAGGGTGGGACTGTCGCTGCTGCTGCGCCAGGGCAAGGGGATCCCGGCCAAACCCTGTCCCAAGGGGGGACAGGATCGGGACCAGTTTCTTCTGCGTACTCTGGCAGCAGCTTGGCCCCCACCAGCATGGCAGAGCCTGCCAAAGCCCCTGTGCCAGCCCCTCTGGCCAGCACAGCGGGGACCGGGGCGATGCGAGGAGGGCAGGAGACAGGTTATAGGAGCCAAGCAAGCCCTCCTGGTTCCCCTTGACCCAGCCCACACAGCCCCCAGGGGCACTGCAGGGTGAATTAAATCGGTATTAATGAACATACCCTTCCCAAAAGCCATGCGGGAGGGATGCTCCGGCTGCAGCTGCATTATCTCCCCGCCTCGTTCCCACTCTCTGGGGACTGCGAGCATCCCCTTTTGTCAAGGGCTTGCTTGGCAAGTGCTTTGCTTGGCTGGGAGCCGGAATGAAAGGAGACGAGGGGAGCGAGGAAGAGGAGGAGGCAGGGGGCTGTTTTGTTTGGCAATGACCTTGTTATCTCCCTCAGCAGGCAGCTGCTCCTCCAGGCCAGAGGCTCGCGCTTATCTGCCCTGCCGCAGACTGATTCACTTATCTACCGCCATGTAGTTGAATATTAATTTCCAATTGGTTTTTTTTATGATTATTTTTTGTGAGTTTGGGGCTGAGAAAGCTTTGGGGTCCATCCCACCCAGCGATTGCTCTTGCCAGCCTCCTCTCTCCGGTGCAGACACCATTCAGGTTCAACCCTCCACCCCGCACATGAGGGGAGCACCAGCTACAGGCTCCTATCCCAAATGTACTAAAAGTCATGCTAATAAATAAAACCCTCTGTAAACGCTCTGATCGGAGCCTAAAGACTGTCACGGCCATGCACCTGAGAACCAATAGCACTTAACCTCCCTGCCCCTGCCCTGCTGTTGCCATCTCACATTGCTCCCAGCCAGGAGAAAAAGAGGAAAAAAAGATCAGTCATTTCTCCTTATTATTTTGTTAATGTGCAAAATTATTTTAAATTGATTTTTATATGCAGGCAATTTCCAATCTTGGAGGCAACAGGAGCCTTGGGACTTTGCACTCCTTGCTTTGTTGGCTGCAGACCAAGGATTTCCTGCATGAGAAAATGGTTAAAAAAAAAAAGACTAACCCCAAATATAAAGCATTTAAAATAGCATGATGGCATCTGGCTCCACAGAGTCCTAAGGGGATATTGTGAGCAAAATTACCATGATGATCTTGCGCTGCATTGCTGAGGCACAGCCCCAGGTGCCTTTGAAATACAATTTCGGGGTCATTTTATGAGCCCAGTGGTGTCCCGAGAGCTGGTGGCTGGGTCAGCCCTACCCTCCTGCTGGCATGGGCAGCTGAAGGCAGCATCTACGAGGTCTGGGGACAAGGATGTGACGGGGGCCGTCTTGCCGGGTGCCAGGGCTGGCACTGGGGCAGAGCCACAGAAAGCTTTGGAGAGCTGCTGGATACTGCGGCCAGAGCCAAGCTCGGTCCCATTTTCCCCTCACTCACTAGGATAAAGTCAGGCAATTTTGCCTTGCTAGAGGTGATGGCAAACAGTGATCACAAGCAGGGACAGGGAAGGGACCCCCCTCACTTCCTACCGTCACGATCCATACGTGGGAGCCCACAGTGGGGCCATGCCCGCATAAGCTCGGTTAACGGGGCTGCCAGGCCGCACACCGGCACCAGCAGCAGAGCACGCACCACACCACCTCAGGCACAAACCCCAGGACACCCCGAGGGCCGCGGCTAACGGCCTTTTATGAGGCGGG